GGAGTAATGGCTACTGAAAATTCAGCTTTGCCATCAGAGGATTAAATTACATTTTAAAATAAACTGTATTAATATATATAAAACAGTTATTTCAAACTGTAAAATTATGTCACAAAATTTGTTTTTTATATGTGGTTTTGACAGTGTGAACGCCTTGTAAAAAAAAAGTCAGATTTTCTTGCTTACATTGCTCCATGAATTCCTCATGCTATGACCCCTGAAATATTTAATATTATAGAACTGTATTTAAAATGTAGCCTATATATAAATATAAATATTTAATACATTCTCTGACTGTAACCAACAACACAAGTACATGCTTGTACAGAATGTGACACTTTTTGTGTCTTTGATATGTTAGGTTACACCTGGCCCCTTCCCTGGGCCCTATGTCCGATCTGGATCTACCTGGACGTTCTTTTCTCCACTGCCTCCATCATGCACCTGTGCGCCATCTCTTTGGACCGATACATCGCCATCCGTAACCCCTTCCACCACAGCCGCTCGAACTCTCTAACAAGAGCCCGTGTCAAAATTATAGCAGCCTGGACCATCTCTGTCGGTAAGTTCTAGATCGCACCAAAGGCAGACGGAAATTGCTTTCCAGCTCAATTCTGAAATGCTAAACAACTGAGACTGCATCTATTAGCACTGGTATGCCAAACCATAGCTCCAAGCTGTCTTCTCACTCTCATTTTGTCTCCATCTGTCTCTAGTTATCTCCATGCCTGTCCCAGTCCTCGGCCTGCACGATCACACCAAAGTCTTCCGGAATGAAAGCTGCCAACTGACGGACAACAATTTTGTTTTGATTGGCTCCTTTGTGGCGTTCTTCATCCCGCTCATCATCATGGTCGTCACCTATATTCTCACCATCAGTGCTCTGCAAAGCGAAGCGACTTTGTGCCTGGACCAACTCATCATGCGGCCAAAATGGTCGTCCACTACTGGACTCCTTCCACGAGGCTCACTCTCTTCTGAGCGTCTCTTCTCACGTTCGTCTCTCTGCCGCGATGGGGCTTCCAGAGGATCCAGCCGTCGCTCCATGCAGTCCATCAGCAACGAGCAGAAGGCATCTAAAGTGCTTGGCGTGGTCTTCCTTCTCTTTGTGATCATGTGGTGTCCATTTTTTGTGACAAACGTAATGGTGGTGGTGTGTGGTTCAGCGTGTGATGAAGATTTGGTGGGGGGACTGATGAATGTGTTTGTTTGGGTGGGTTATCTGTCATCGGCGGTCAACCCTTTCATCTACACGCTCTTCAATAAGACTTACCGTGCAGCTTTCGCCCGGTACATGCGTTGCCGCTACCATGAGGAGAGGAGGCCTCTGCAGCTGATACTGGTCAACACCATCCCTCCTCTGGCGTACAGCTCCACTGGGCTTCCCTTGAAGATGGAGAACTCATTAAAGAGAAGGGCAGAGGGCAGCCGGTCAGGGAGCTTCTCCAACACAGACAGGTCAAACTCTGGAAAAACACAAAACAAGCAGGAAAGGGAAGAGGTAGTAAGCCATTTGTGAGACTCCAGGTTTTTTTAAATTATGGTTCACATCAACAGACCTTAGAGACCGTTTCTTTTGTAGGTGTAAAAGCTTGAAAAATGAAGTCTTTTATTTTAATATGTGTCCACCTGCGCAGCACAGCACAGTCAGCAGATGATACTACCTACTGCTCACAGCCGAAAGAGGAGACAGATGCTTTTAAATTGATTAAAATTTTAAAATAATCTATCTCTCTGAGTCCGTATAATGCAAGTGGATAGGTCCCTCAAAGTTGGTGCATTGACATGATGCTTAGTTCATACAAACTCAGTTGATGAATCAATAACTTAAACTTTCCATTAGGCTTGCTGCGGTAGTCGGTGTTACCTGGTGTTCAGCCATACACTGAGTACATTACTTGCTCACCGCGGTACTGCCCCCACTGTCTTTTTGCATTATTATAGAAATAAAAACCATTTAGTTCAGTTAGACAATGCTACAATTGTAAATTGTAAATTGCTCTGCTCCATACAGCGCGCGCTGCAGAGCCACAGCAGGAGTCAGATTTCACTGATCACGTGAAGAACGTGAGAGAGGTGCTTTCAGTGCCAGCGCTTCGGGTGTAGACGGGTGTGAAGGTGCGCGCGGCAAAAATGACTAGGAAATGGATGAAGGTGTAAAAGTAAAACAAAAGACCGCTTCTTAAACCAGAGAAGGCGAACATGTTGGTTTTCTTGGTAAAAAAAAAACATGCAAGCACTGTCACCGACAGGCCAGTGTAGTTTTAATTTTCTTTTTGTTTTCATTTTGAAAAGCCTGTTGTCTTTGCTGTTTACTTTACGTTATGCTACGGAGGCTTTTTTATTTATCGGAGGCTTTTTTATTTATTTATTTATTTGATTCCACAGTGTTTGCTAAATTATTAGTCGATATATAATTCAGCATGTGGTGTAGGCTATGCGGCTGCCATATGCCTCGTCAGGCTCGTCTTATTAGTTTTTGTTAATAAACATAGCCTATGCTAATTTGTCATAATGTTTTATTGTTGTTGTGTTTTTCATTAAGAATAATAATGAATCCATCTTTCAAGCATTCGTTTTAGTCTCAGAAAGTGAAAGGTGTATAGATGTAAGCGCAAGAGACTTTACTTGTAAAGACGCAACTTTACTTGTAAAAGTTAAAGTGAAAGCGTCCAAAACCTCGTCCCCACGGTGTTACCGGCAGAGCTTGGTAGGTTACTTACAAATTGTAATCCGTTACTGATTCCAAATTACATTACAAACATTTTAGTTATTAGTGTAATAAGTTACATTACACATTTTAGGTAATGTAATCAGATTACTTTTTGATTTCTTTTAGATTACTTTTGACCAAACTCATTGATCACACTGATTTAAATAGGATAATCTTGTACCATAATGATGTAAAAAATACAAAGAGTAAGAAAATATATTCCATTCATTGTAATTAATAACAAGTGCATTAAACATTATATTACATCAAGGTTTCCCAAACTGGGGTTCGTAAAGGGATTCATGAATTTAATGAAAAGCTAACAATTAAAGTGCCCCTATTATGGATTTTTGAAAATTACCTTTCATGCTGTGTGTAACACAGCTCTAAGTGAATGAGAACATCCTGCAAAGTTTTAAATCTGAAAGTGCACCGTGTATAAAGTTATTGGCTCTCAAAAGAAAGAGTCGATTCTGAATCATTGAAACGAGTCGTTTTTAAAACGAATCCCAAGCCGTTTCATGTTGACGTCAACATTAAACATTAGCATATTGCCCGCCCACTTGTTGGTCTTTTTGCGTTGGTCTGAATTAAAATGCAAATTCATTCTTTGCCACTATAGGCGCCGCTTTTGTCTAGTAGGGGTAGCTGCAGCTTGGAGCAATGGGCGTGCCAAAAGTTGAGGGCGTGTCAAAAGGTTTCGCATTGGTGAAACGAAAGGTAGGAGGCGTTCCAAAAGGTTTCGCGAAAGCTGGCTGTTCCGCGTAAAGGCGAGCCATACTCTTAATCGCTATAGGCCTACAGATTAAAAGGAAGCAATAAATTCAACATAATCCTATAAAACCAAATTTAATTCTTCCAAGGTAAAAACAGCGTTAATGATATTAAACCTCTGGGGTCCGAGGGTGTTTTGGGGCCCTGGAAAAGTTTTGACATGCCCTGACATTTGTGCTTTTTTCAGTTGCTTACAAACATTTGAATGTCTAAAGTTTAATAACACTGTAATCAGCACAAACTGTGCTACAATAATATGTGAGCAGCATGTATGTACACGATTGCGTTTTTGAGAAAACAAGGTTTATGCGTGCTTAGTGAAAAACTACAATTTTAAAGTCACTCATATACTGGATATTCTGTACCCAACATTGACAAAATTCATTTAACATATAGAATGTTTCAATTCCTTCTGAATTTAAAGACAAAACTGGAAGCATCAGGCACAGTAAACAGTTCATTAATCAATTTTAAGTGCTAAACACATAGGCAGTGCATGCTTAACAAGCGTTTATAAAAAAAAAAATTCTAGTAGTAAGAGCATTGAATACAGAACATTAGCAACTCGATTTTAACTCATATACAGGATATTCTGTATAAAACCTCAAAATAACAAATTTCAAATTGACATGTATGATGTGTTTCAATTCCTTCAGAATTTAAAAACAAAACTGATAGCATCAGGCCCAACAAGCTACTCATTAATCAGTTTTAAATACTAAACTCTCAAGCATTTTAAGACATCCTATCCTTGTGCTTCTGCAGACTTTTTTAGACCTACTAATTATCTGACTAATTATTAGTGTCAACTTAAACAGTCTGTTCACCCAAAATTTTAAAATCGTCATCGTTTACTCATCCTTATGTTGTTCCAAACCTGTATGAGTTTTTCATCTGTTTAACACAAAAGATATTTTAAAGAATGTTGGTAACAAAACAGTAGATGGTAGCTATTGATTTCTATAGTTTTTTTTTTGTTTCCTCAAAATATCTTCTGTGTTCAATTAAAGAAAGTTTGGAACACCATGAGGGTGAGTAAATGACCATTTTTGGATGAACTATGACTTTAATGAAAGGTGTAAAGGGGGCGACAATTCTTTCTATTAATACTTACATATAATATTCAATTATATTATAATATAATTGTACTGCTGACTCTTCACTGAGACAGTCATTTTTGTTACCAAAAGGCCCAAAAATGAAGTACATATGCTTCCTGTAGATGTTTTCTAAAAGAATGGAATCACAAAAAAGTTGATTGGCACTCATCTATACCGCAGGTTATACTAAAATTTCCTTCGAGTGCACTTTGGGCAATGGTACAGTTGAGGCATGAGGATCTAATACAAAAGGCTAATCATCCGGAGTAAAGTTACTGGCAGCGGCTTGTCTCCCTCTTCCACAATTTTGACAATGTGCCTCTGAAGGAAAGTCAGTGTCTTTTTCAGGTGTGGTGGATATGCAATGTTGAAAGCAAAATACATACAGAAGGCTGTTATGAAGGCTTCATCAAGGCTGGTGCACTGGCACATGTCTATTCCATCTACTTTCACCACACTGAGCCCTCCTCCTATGATTGCCATTTTCCAGTCAGTATTAGGGCTGTGCAATTAATCGCATGCGATTGTCATGCACA